TAAGCATGAGCTTTCCATGGCATAGAAAAAATGAATTTAGATTGTTCAAAATTCCCAGCATGATCTGAGCGTCGCACTTGAAGCTATTCCTTTCTGATAATTGAATTTTTTCAGGGACCACTACACATTTTACATTTTATGAAAACATGTTGACGGTTTATGTAAACTTCCTTGAAAAGGACGTATTTCACATTCCTTTTGCCGTTCATTTCATTGGTTTCAAAAACTGTTTTCTTCAGTTCTACTTTACTATTCCATTTCTCCATGTTTTACTAATCTTTCCTCCTTTTGTCACCAGTTTCCCCGTCAGTTTTCGAATGTTGGTTCCGCCCAAAGAATGAATTCAAATTCTTTTAATTATTTTGTGGCATCAAACGGAGTTGTCAAAGAGGAAAACGTCTCCCAGTCTTGGGCCGCCGTTGGGCCGCTGAATGAAGCCCAAACAAAGTTCCGGTTTTGCAATCAGGAACAGTCGAAAAATGTTTTTTTCGACTAGCCAAAATATAGTAGCCGTCTGTGCAGTAGATTTGGCATGTTTTTAGTGAGTCTGAGGTCAATGTTTACCGTGTTAAAGTGCGTTTTGCATGGAGCTTTATCTTGTTTTCGTTCATTCGCACTTTGAAAGGCGTTTAGGTGACAAAGCGGCCAAAAACATGTCATTTTTAAATTAAAATTCCGCATGGGAGAGCCGTTTTATTAACTTTTCGACGCTTGAACTATAACTTTTGGTTTTGGAAAAAAATTAAATTAAAAATTTTGGCGGGATTTTTGAATTTTTAATTTTTTTTGCTGCAGCCAGATAATTACTGGCGCGCTGAAGATTTTTTGCGATCTTTGAGGCGTAAATTTTATTGATGTGTTGGTTTATAAGCAGTTTTCCAGCTTTTGGCAGCGTAATTCAAGCCTTGAAACGGAATGCCAATTTTGGCGGGAATTTTGAACCTTCGTTGAATTTACGGTCTGGTCCACTTAGTTTGGGTTTTAAGCGTCTCAAAATTGTTTTACCAAATTTTCAGCATAATAATTTATCACAATTCAGCGGCTACAACAGAACGCCAATTTTGGCGGGAAATCAAAAATTCAAAAGTTTTCTTCAAATTAGGGCTAAATTCGATCTTTAGGCAGCTTTGAGATACGGAGGAAATTTTTAAATCATACATTTATTTGTTATCATCGAAAATTCCCTGCTTGAGACACAATGCCAAAGATTCCAGAAAAAATTTAGATTTAAAAATATTAATCCCCAATCGTACAACTTTCCTCATCACCCCTTTCAAAGTTCATCTCATACATCCTCTTGTATGGCCCACTACAATTTCACTAATAAACCCCTCGGAATTTTATATCAGGATATTATCCATAAGAAGGGATCTTCGGCCGCCATGGCTAACATTCCAAATACTCCCAAATGCAAACAAAAGCGTGGCCAAGCTGAGAAAATGAGTTCCTTGAAGCGAAAAGGGAAATCCGCAAGTTCTTCAACTGATGCGGTGTAAATGAGAAGCGGGGATAGCCATATTCTCGGTCAGCATAATGGGGGAGGGACATTTTTTTGAGGGGTTTAGGGCCGGAAATTGGAAAAAAATGGCCTGTAATTATTAAGAGTGCAAAGGGGATGATGGTCATGAAGTCTTAAAGAGTTTTAAGAGGGTTTTAGAAGCTTAGGGTTGTTTAAATTTTTGAGTAATCAAAATCCTTGAAAAAGTGATAAATTTTGGAGGTTCTACAGATTTTATCATGTCCGAACATTTACCTTTTCAAAGAGATTACTTTTTCTACCGATATCTGCATTTTTTTTACTTCTTTGAGAATATATAGCAAAAAGTCAAAGTGAGCTCAAAATTTGGTATCAAAAAGTATCATAGAGCAAAAAATTCCTTTCCTTGAAGAGCGACGGTTGCTCTCAAGCCTTCTGCAACTATTTTTTGTGTCGAATCGGGGCAAGGCATATAATCGAGCCTTTATAACAAGTCGCAAAGAACCAAATTATGCAGAAGTTCTACTGTACGTTGATTTTGCCCTATCTTTCGCTGATTTGAGCACTGTATGTGTACATATTATTCCCGAAGCAGCAACAAGAAATATTTTTCCTAAATTTTGAGCTGATTGACTTTGTTTACCCGTAAGTTACTAGTTACTTTTCCCCAAGACTTGGGGAAGCTAACTAGTTAAAGACAAGCCATTTTCTCGTAAATATTTTGGCTACAAATTTTGACGACAGTTCTTTACTTTCTACTAACCTTTTTTTACGCATTTTACAACCTCTTCCAAGTACTGATGACACTCAAACTCTTCTTAGATTTGTATATTTGTCATCGTTTTCTGTCACTGTTTATTACACTTCTTTACAATTTGAATAGAGTAAGTTCCCAGTAACGTTTTGAAAACCCCGCTACTCTAACGGCGTCCAACTTTTCGGCCCGCCCGTATTTTTTTTACTTTTCTCTCCTATTGTTTCATTGCTGGCTTAATGTAATATTTATGGCCCTTTCCCTACAGAAATACGGCCAATTCCCTTAATACTATCATCAAACTTTTTGCGTTTTTATCGCTTATAAATATAATATTAGGTCGTTGGCATACGAAATGCGTTATTATAACCATGGAGATTAAGGCAATAACGTTTTTACTAATTTTAAAATATTTATGAGCATGTTAAAATTTGGTTGTGCTTAAGTTTTGTTGAGACTTGAAGTGAATTTAGATTACATTCTTCTATGAAATTTCAAACTTCATTGCAGAAACATTGGATATGAGTCCTTTCGCCCAGGCGTTAAAGTGATTTTTATGGCTTGCACTGTGCATCAAAAGTCAGGGTGCGAGCGACAGCCCAAAAACGCCTATTCGGTGCAAAAAACAAGGAATTGCACAGTGCAAGTTGAACTCCTGTTTTCGCACAGTGCACATCGCGACAAAAGCTGAAATCGGCGACACGCACTGTGCGAAAACAACGGTTTTCCTTGCACTGTGCATTTTTTTGTTTTTTGCACCGTGCAATAGGCTTTTTTCGGCTGTCGCTCGTTTGACTTTTTTCGCCCAGTGCACACGCCAAAGATCAGTCCTGCGATTTTCCGGAAGAACTAGTGTAAATCCAAAATCATATATAGTCCAAAGTTTCTCCCTTCCTCAAAAAATTATTAGCTATTCCCGCTTGTTTACTCCCACGAAATAACGTATTTTCCCAGCCGAAAATACACTTTGGCTCAGAGATTAGTCTATGCTAATTAGCGTCAACTCGTCATTCAATTATCGAGGGTTTTTGTTGAGCAGTTTTCCTCGGAGTTTTTTTGTAGGCCAATTTTTTAAGTCACGGAATATATTATAATAAAGAACAGAAGGTAATTCCGCGTATTTTACATCTTATTTTTTTACTTAGTTTTCTTTTGTTGCTCAATACAACCTCCATTGAAAAAGATGCGTATTTTACATCTGTTCTTTTTTGTTGCAAAATTTAATTTTTTCCGGAATTTTTGATACGCAAAAAATGGAATTAGAAAAATGAGTGACATCTAATTTTTCGACGGCTCCGTCAAACGCTCCAGAAAAAATATCCATTTTTTATTTGAAACATTAGTTTTTGAACACTTATTTATAGATTTCTTTGTTAAAGATATTGTGTTTCACCTATAAAGTCAGAACAGAAAAAGCTTTTTTGTTTTTTTTTCATTGATGTTTAAATTTTTGACGAATTTTGTCAGCAGGTCAACGAAATTTTTATTGGGTAAACAAATTTTGAAAAGCATTTTTATTTTTTGTTTTATTTTCGAGGGTATTTTTTCCTATCTTTAAGTAACCGATTTTTTATTGTCCGCAAATAAAAAAAAATCGCTGAATTCAAAAGACTAAGGTCCCATTTAAAGAGCCGAGTACCACACAGGTTCTATGGTGCATGTATTGTATTATAGAACATGCTAGTCGTTTCGTAAAGTCGCTTTTTTTGTGGCGTTTGTACAAAAAATTGTTAGATGTAGGAGAAAAACTTTTTTGTTACAGTGCTTCCACCTAGTTACACTTGCATTCCCACCATAAAAGTACACCTACAGACAAACACATCAAATTTCCCATACTCCTAATTTTAGTTCCATAACCTATATAATGTTAATACTTTACCAAAAAGTTTATCTGGCTCACCATTTTCTCCCACAATTTTTGACATGAGATATTGTTGGTTTGATGATTATACAATCTTTAAAAATTGCGTAGACTCTTTGCCGCGGCAAACCGTCATTTTTGCCTTTTCTCGCAGCGTGCAAACCCTTTTCAATTTTGCACAGTGCAAAGAACTCGAAAAGTATACTTGCACAGTGCAAAATGGATGACAAATGGGCGCATGGTGCGAAAGAAGAAAAAATGCACAGTGCACGTCAAGCTGAGGAGTCTGGTGACCGGAATAGACTCTTCGCTATCGGTTTTTTACACTTCGTCCTGATTTCGCAGAGAAAGAGAGAAAAAAAGGCACGCAAAAACGTACTCTCTCGCCTCAAAAATTCCCCATTTCTTCCCCGACAAAACGTTTTTTCGCGTCTTTTTTGGCAAATTGCCGATCCATTCACCGGACTGTTTTAGCTTATCTCAGTTTGACGTGCAGTGTGCCCTAAAAATGTTTTTTCTTTTTTTCAAAAATCCTGTTTACAGACAAGTGGACAAGCAATCCGAAAAATGTTATTCTAAAATAAAATATGCGCCGGTCACTCTTTCCCATATTACCCGAGATTTACATTTCCGCTCCCTGACGTGTTTACAGAGACCTCCCGGAATATTTCCCCTTTGCATGGTCCATAATTTTTTGTTTATGGCCCACGAAATTATTTTTCCTTGAAATTAGGTTTTTTTTGATTTTGAATGAGCTGACTATGATATAAATAATTTGTATCACGTTCCGCGAAAATCTCATGTTACTGCAGCCTTTACGCAATAATCTCGAGCTTTTGCAGGTCAAAAAAAGCAGGTTGTGTTGTTTTTTTCTATGGAAATGACCTAATGGTGGAGCCCGAGATGCAATGCTACTCACCGGATTGACTCTTTTTGTGTTGTACTCGCTGTGCGGGGTGGTCCAGGCGAGCATCAGCTGCTACACTTGCGCCAATGACTTTGTGGTGTGGGTAAGGAGATTTTCGGAGTTTTTTTGGGATTGTTAAAAAAGTGATTTTTTAATTTTTTCTTTTTTTGTAAGAGCAATTGCAAATGCAACTTGTCATCAATGAAAATCAAAATTTCCTGAAACGCAATCTTGCTTTTTAACTCAATTTAGGTAGATTAAAAACAAGATTTTTTATAAAAAAATGCCAAGAAATGCTTCAGGAAAAATTTTTGATCTTTTGAAAGGGAAAAGTGTAATTAATCGGCAAAGAAATCCAATTTTTCGCTTAGAATTCACAGAAGTATGGCCAAAATGTTTTTCTCTGAGCAGTTCTCCTCGTTTAAAGACCTTGTAAACTCCTTTGACTTTTCAGAACTGGCGTCACTACTTCCTCAAACGCAACTACCAACTCTCCTCCTCCGACAACACGTGCTCACAAAAGGTCTCGTTCCCCGACACCTACAACAAGTGCACAACGAGCTGTTTCGTTTTCTACGTGAATGGGACGGACAGAGAAACGGGTTTGACTGTCACGTTGGGTGTGGGTAGAGGATGTTCCGGGCAGTTCTTGACCGACGAACAATATATGAGTAGATCGTTGGGAGTGCAGTCGAAGATGTCGGAAACGGCGCATTATCTGCCAAGGACCTATGATAAAGTAAGCTTGTTATAGGGATTTTTGAAATTTTGAAGATTTTTGAGGCTTTTTGAAGAAATGAAAAAAGTGACATTTCGTCCACATAAAATTTAAGTCGATATTTTTTATGGTATGGTGAAATGGGAAACTGTAAAAAAATATTGGCAGGTAATATTTGGACATAAATAACTGTGATTGCAAATTTTAAAAAAATACGTCATGATGACGGGGTTTTTGAAATTTTTTGGACGAAATGTCAAAAATTTCTAAAAGCTGAATTTTTTGTTGAAAATCAGATTTTTGAATTGCTTCTGTCATATGTATTCATTTTCAATTTTATCCACTTCTTAATTTTTGAATTTTTGGTCCCACAACGAAAACTTTAATTTATAAAATTTTCCTTAAAAATCCCTTTAGCTGATTTTATCTTCACTTTTTTACGCTTCATATTTTTTCAGTATGAAATCTGGGAGCACTGGTGTTTCTGCGCCGCGGACTACTGTAATGTGGAGTCCTGTTACAACGAATGGCGTTACAGCAGTGGGTTCGGCTATGCGCCGCTGAATCCGCATCGGCGAACGCACTCGCGCCGACGCCACGACAACTCCTACGATTATCACAACTCATATTGGGGATGGTACAAGAGTGCCGTCGCTGCGAAATCACCCGGGTCTCTACTGTTGTCCATGACAATCCTTTTGTATTTTATTTTCTTCTAAGAATATTTCCTCTATACGAACAAATAAAATTTTTCATAAAAAGTTTATAAAAAAAATTCTAATTTTTAATTTGTTTATTCAATGTGGGATAAAATATAAATGGTTGTCATAACAATCGTCAGTCACGTAGAGGAAAGGAGAGACAAGAGACAGCGGAACATTTTATTTTCAGCGTTTCAAACCCGTAGAATCGTAATGAAAAACGTTGAAAGTTTCTTGGTTTATGGAGAAATGGGCAAAGTAGACCTTGCAAGATACGCTTGTTTTAATTCTTTCAATTTTATAATCGTAAAATACGATCAATTTCCAAAAATAAAAAATGATATCACCCATGAAAATTTGATGACTAAAAAATTAAAACTGTCGCATTTTACAAGATCCTTTACAATGTTTTGTATACAAGACGGAAGTACACATTCGTAATGCCAATAGTTTACTAATAGCAAGACTTTTTCAGACCATGTAACTCGGGGGGAAACAGAGATCAATGCGAAAACCAGTTGGCAGTTGTGATGGGCTGGATGGAAAAGGTTCAAAGTTCCGGTAAAATACGAATCAAAAAAAACAAATACACCTTTAAAACGGTGTTAATAGGCCATCCAGCCCAATACAATTCAAGAATCTGTTATGGCATTCGAGGATTTACAAGTTTTAGCCAGTAATATTGCATCGAGTTATTGAGAAATTCAAAATGTAAAAATACGATACCCTAAGTGCAAGGGGGAGTCGATGGAAATCGGCATAGATAAAGATTGAGATTTTGGTTGAAATTGGAAGAGTTTTCAGACCGCGCTATGCAGAAATGACGAAAATATGGTGCTTTTCAATTTGAAAAATCCCGTTTTGAAAATGTATTTTTTTTTTTGATGACAAGCAGAAAATTTGGTATTTGAAAAAGAATCATGAATTTTCAAATCGCGTTATGTAGGAACAACAAAGATATGGGTCAATTAACTTCTAAAAATCCCGATTTCAGCCTTTTTCGGGACTGAAATCGGGAGTTTTTTAGGCTCTAACTTTCTTCCGTAAATTCAGAGCCCCTGCAGCCTATGTCTGCCAAAATTTATCTAATTTCAGCCATTGCACTTGGAGTAGTCCCCATCTCAAAAGACCTAGTATTAGGTCCTCCGAGAATAACACAAAAAACTTTCGAGGAGGGAGCGATTGGACATGTATATGTATGTAAAAAGATCACCGTAGGCTTTTTTCTATCGTCGGGGGCGTTCGGGCGGGGATTCGTCGGTGTGTTGGGAGCTTGTAGACCTCTCCGACAAGGTGGGACGTCCACTCTCCGGCTGGATGTTGATCATCGGCACGTGACCGGGCGAGATCGGCGAGATGGCGCCGGTTTGTGCGTCGTAGCCCGACGTCACCGTAATGTCCTCGTCGGCGTACGGCGTCAACGATTCCATCGACAGATTGAGCGGAGGCACCACTGCCGTCCGAGTATTGGGCGGCGGGTCGGCTCGCGAGGCGGTCGAAGTGGTCAGGGCGGGGGCTTGGGTGGTCACTGGAAGATGGTAAGGTGAGACATCGCCGTATTGGGAGTATGTGTCCATGGGCAGAGTTGACGGGGTCCCACCTGAATCACGGAGGTTTTGGTGGCCAGAAAACAACTTTTTTGGGCCCGGAAAAGAAGTGGCCGGCAAGGAAAGGAAGCGTGCTTTTATGGCTACTTCTTTGTGCCAAATCATAGCCTACGAGAGGGTGCAATCTCCACAGTCGTATCTTTCAGAACGTAAAGTGCAACGGGACCCACTTATTTTCACTTTTTTCGGATACTTTTAGCCATAAACCCTTCAAGAAGTATCATCCAAAACGACTTATATTTTGGATTATGTGTCTAGCACAAGGACATAATGTAAACCCCGGAATTTACTAGTCTCCTGGTGTAAAATGCACATAAGAAACATCAAGGTAATGATTACCTCCTTGCCGTTGATTGCATAATATCTGCAGCAGTCTTTCGATGTTCGCGATCCGAGTCTCGAGACGATCCATGTTCTGATTGGAATTGGATGGGCTGTGGTCGGTTCGGCGGGATATTGGCTGAAAGGGGTTGGCTTCAGTTTACTGTAAATTTAAAGCTTTTTGTCGCATCTAACACCAGCTATACAGAAAAAAATTGAGGCAATGCTTTGCACACCCAGCCGAGATATACACTCAATTAGGAGAGTGTACCTACCCTGTGGAAAAATGGAGTATCTAAGGCTTGGTAAGAGCCATCAGTAAACTGCATATGCCATTCGAAAGAACATGTCAAAAACCCTACTATAGCAAGTTTCCATGAGGTAGGCATGCTTTCGTAACGGATTTTTAATCATCTCTTCCACCGGGAGGCCATTGAAATGCTTACATAAGTTCGGAGATAAATCAACTTTTACCCATACCTCGGTAAAACTTTTGGTCTAAAAAAATCGTTTTTCTCTGCAAAGTGCAAACTAAAAATCTCAAAAAATGCCCTAAAGCTTTCCACTCCTAGTTTGTACTAAATTGCATTCAGATTAATGAATCTGACCGTCTTCTTGAGACGCTCTGTCATAGATACGCCTGCACTTACTCTTGCATTTTCAATAACCGTCAACGTCGTTGACCTTGGCGGTGGTATCTCCACGAACTCTCTGCTCCTCGCATTCTTCGCACTGGTCGCGTCTTCGTCGAAGGTCTTCCCGCGCAGGAAATGCGATCTTCGTCGACCCAAAAAGCTGGGAGATCTGGGCGGCGTGGGGCTTTGCTGAACCTGCGGAGAGCGGCGGGGCTGGATTACTGTCTCGTCAATATGACTGACAGAATGCGTCGAGTTGCCTATACGGGGCTGGTAGTTACCCTAAAAGTTGGGGAAAATTACAATTTGAAAAAAAAAAATTTTTTTGACATTTCGTCACTTTTTTTGACACTTCGTCGAAAAGCGGTTAGATACTGTTTTAGAGCAATAAGAATAAAAAGAATAAAGTAACTAGTGACAACAGATATATTTCAGAGATTTGTGAAAAATTTCGTCATGATGACATGTTTTTTAGACACTTTTTTACAAAACTGAAATTTCAAAGTTTTTGCTTCTATTTTTTTACCGAATAAAATTTACGATTTGTTGGTAAAATACGAGGCAAGTACATATTCAGAAGTGCTTCATATTACCTTTTCCACATCCAAACTTGAATGATTTCCCATTCGATGAACGGCATGCCGCTCTCTCATCCTCAGCAGTAACTTCCGGACAGGGTGATCATCTGGTATGTCCAATTTCTCATTTTTACGTCTTTCGTCGAGCTCTTTTTCACGTTTTACGTCCACAACTTTGCGGAATTTTAACTGAAAATTTAATTTTCAGGATATTAAAATTTATGCAAATTTTTGAAAATTAAGCATTTTTTCGATGAAAATTAAATTTTGTTGTAATTATTTTAAACAAGAAAAAACCAAGATTCAAATTTATGCAAATTTTCGAAAATATGCAAATTTCGGCTTAACTTACCCGATGAGTCAAATTATACGTCAACACCAAATTCCTGGCAAAAGAATTAGCAAATGCCTTGTAAAAGTTGAGAACGTCCATCAATTTCTCGTGTTTTATCATATGCAAATCCGTATAAGTGAGAGCTTTTACGTTGGCCGCTGATTGGCCGGGCTTGTAGTTCGGACTTTGCCAGAACTCGTCGCCAAAAACGTCTCCCTTCCCCAGAATCGCAACGACTTCCTCGTCTTGAATCACCTCCAAAGAACCCGAGACAACGAACCACAAAGCGTCCACTGATTCACCCGTATGGTAGAGGAGATCGCCTGGCGCGGCGTGATTACTCTGAAAATCGAAGGTGTGGTAATTTTTTGGCATATAGACAAAACTCTCTTGACGATTTGTCTGTGACATAACGGGAATAAATCAAAACGTTTTTACTCCGAAATACGGCCGAAGGAGAGGAAAAACTAAAATTAAAAATAGCGGTATACGCGAAGTTTGTATTTGCTTCAAAATTTGTGTCCCTGATCTACATAGGCTACACATCACTTCCTGAAAATTTCAGCTAAAGCTATTCAGGCGCGTTTAAGAAATTTCTTTGTCGGCGGGAAACTGCGAAAACCTAATACGAATTAGGCCAACGTTCGAAAGTGAGAGGTTTATATCCGTCCATATCTCTCATGTACGAAACTTATTTAATTTAGCCATTTTGCTATCAACTCACCTCCAAATACATCGCCAATGACCTTAAACATCCATCCGAAGCCAGCCGAAAACACGAATGTTCGTTGAAAACCTTTCGATTCAAATGAACGCATATATCAGCCTTCATGTCCTTCGGACAGTACCCCAAAACCTTGTTCGTATCAATTCCTTTGGTCATGGCCCACGTTGAGACAACGTAATCCATGACTCTCTCAGCCAGCTCTCTTGGGACTTCTTGAAGTTTGATGAACTCTCGAACGTTCGAAATCATCTCGTGGTATCTAAATTTGGAATCATCGAAAAATTAGCGCAACGTACCGGACAGTCGCTGAAGTCATTTGCTGAATAATCGTGGTCATGTGGCCAAAAATCATGGCGTACAACAGCGCCGAGATTATCATCAAAAAGACGCCGAAACTCTTTTCGAGGAATGTGGTGCTGGCGATGTTTCCGAAACTGAAATTTATAAGTTATAAGCGTCCGGCCACCACCATCAACCTACCCCACCGTCGACATACAACTCAACGTGAAATAGAGCGCTGACATGTACGCATTCACCCGATCCGGCCCTCCCACCAACCTCGCTGACGTTGAATTCGCAAAATTAAACGGCATTTTCAGGTCGTTCGAGAGCTTCATTAGCCACGAATCCGGACGGAATGGGTCCTGCACTTTCTGACGGATCTCCCAATCGCCAATCCCATACCAAATACAGGCCATCCAATGGGCGACGAGGATAAAGGCACACAAGAGGAGGAGAAGAGTCGCGGCTCCGTATTCTAAATAGTTGTCCAGTTTTCTGGCAACTCGACCTAATCGTAGCAGTCGGACTACTTTAAGGGCAGAGAAGAGGGAGCCGATCCGCTGAAATGGGATTTTTTTTATTTTGAAATAGCGGGCGATAAGATCCGATCTAAAGTAATGTAACTTTGGACAGGTTTCATCGTATAAAATGGATCCAAAAAAGTGAAAAGAGATAACAAAATTATTTTATGCGTTTTAGACCGTCAGTACCAAAAAATCCTGTTTTCAAAATTTTTTTGGAAATCGACCAAACACCTTTCATCGTATAAAATGTCACCAAACTCAAAAATTAAAAGATCCATATTTTGGACTTTCCTGTAGTTGTGTTTGTTGGACAAAAATAATTTTTACATCAATTCTTTGTCCAGAATGCTTTTCGTATAAAATGGCGCCCGCAGGATGCGGATTCAAAAATCAATAAGGTCCACAAGAACTCACCTCGTCATCGTGTTTAAACATGTAGAAGATATCATATGGCAAACAAGATAATAGGTCTATCACAAACCAGGATTTGAAATAATTTCGGCGTATCGTCGAGGGCTCTATTACGACCTGAAAAAGTAAGGGTAAAATACGAGGTTCAAGCTGTCCAACTTTATTTTCAAAAAAAAGTGGAGAGCAGACGTCTCAAAAACTTCAAATTTTTCGATTTACAATAGTTTTACAACAAAAAATGATATTAAACTTGCCTCTCCGCCCGGCCCAACAAACGTCGTGTGGAAGTTCAACAAAATGTCGGCGAAGAAGATCACATCAACTATACTGTCCATCAACGCCACATAATCGATCATCCCCTTCGGTGGGACATCCCGATTCTTGAACGCGATGTTGAATGGCACCATAAACGCCGTGTAAAAGGTCAGCGCCAAAATCGACCAATCCCAGACGGTCTTAAAGGTCGAATAGTGGAGAATAATGTGCGGTGAGGTCTTCGGAGTCTCCTGCCGATATTGCGGCAACATATCGCCACCCAGGTTCATCAACTGCTGACGAAGTATGTAATTTGTGAAAACTTTAGGACAACGCGCGGGGACTTTAGGGAGAGGAATCGCTTTTATTGCCGTGGGACCAAATCAAGGTGCTTCGGCAGCAACTTAGGGGTTCGAAATGCAATCAGGGCGAGAGAGGAATGGATTTTTATATTCTCAAGAAGGTCCTTCGAAACCAGCGACCTTATATCACCTGAACTATGGACGAAAAAAGATGTCAATAAAAAATCGATAACTCTTGTGACGAAATGTCAAAAAATTAATTTCGATAAAACGTGAGGGCTCGTTCACCCCTAACCTCAATTTTATCGATTTCCAACCAAAAAACCCGTCTAAAAACTTTTCCAATAATTTCTGTGACGAAATGTCAAAATTGAATTTTAGCAAATCTTGACTAAAATCATTACCATACTTCATTTTCAGCACTTTTTAATCCATAAAACGTCATTTCACCCTTCCTTATAGGATAAACTGTCAAAAGATTCATATTCCGTTCCTTCCTCACCCTTCATGCAAGATAGCCAAGTGCGTAGCGTGTTTCATCTTCGACTACAGTGTCTATCTATGAACAATATCAAATCAATTGGCAAAATGCAAAAGTTGCAAAATTTGTGAAGTGCAGCTTGAGAAAAAGTTCAAGCTGAAGTGGTGTACTTGTCATTCACTCTATTTGGTATACCCTAACATTTCCTAGTCAAATATAATTCTATTTTGGGTCGGAAAAAGCAAAAATAGTATGTTTTTAATACCTTCTGTTTGTGCAAAAGACTAGTTGACTACTGTAAGCTAAAATTAGTCAATACTATCAAATTCCAAACCGCTAAGATTTTGATTTTGTAGGCTAAAAATTAATATGAGGTCCTTTCCGAAATTGTCGTATAAGATGTCACCCTCGAGAGTAATAATCTACAATCTAGAGTCTATGTTTCCGGCACCTAAACAAACTACATTTTTTTTGAGCTGACCTACCAGCTCTCAATTATACTTGCTATTGCAAAAAAAATCTTGAGAAGCCTTAAAAACTCCCAAAAAATCATAAAACGTTCAAATTTTGATTACAATGGCAAAAGCGTTCAAAGCATGCGGCGGAACCAAGGAAATTGTGGGGGTGACCAACTCAAGCGACCTTCCCTAAAACCCAAGACTACCTGGTTGAAGTGCGACGACACCCCACTCCCTGCCTTGTGCAGGTCCTTCGTCTCGATCTGATTGAATTGTTGCCGCGACTTCGCTATTCGCGCTATCTGCAGGATTCGACTGAGGCCGAGGACTGAAATTTCGAGGGTTATTGAGGGTTTTTAATCATCGGAATCAAGGTTTTTGAATAAGTATAAACCATTCCTGGCCAAAAATCGAAAAGCTGCCACACTAAAAAATCCCGGTTATTTCTGCAAAGCGCGGATAGAAATCTAGTAAGAATAATTTTATATTCTTTTGTCAGCTTAAATTTTGTTTTTTATTTTTTTAAATCTAGCGTCACGAGCACTTATCACGCTCAGTTTACTGTCTGTTTTCGACCTATTTATCGCAAAAAGCACTTTTGAATCAACTTACCTTTATTATTCTCATCGTCCAACGGTTGTTTCAACGGTGTTATGTCCTTAAATTGACAAAGATATAAAACCACCCGTCCTTTGTCATCCTTTATCGGCGCTACATGTACTAATAGCCAAACGTAGGACTCTGAAATATTGGAAATAGTATCTGTTACGGTAAAAAGAGTGATTTTTTCATCTAAACGCCTTCACAATTCATTATCCGACAATTTTGAGTACATTTAGAGTATATACATCAAAAAATTTTTACTATGACCCGCATATTAACCAGAAGAAAATGCTGTTATTTAATTTTGAACATACTATTCTTCTTCTGCACACATATCTCCGCTTGTTCCGTTTTCGCGTTGTCAAAAGCGAATTGCAATCGTTGGACGGTTTCAATGTCGGTGTTGTCTCCGTATGTAAATGATAATCTAAAACCGAGATTCCATAACTAATCGAGAAACTCGTGAAGACTCACGTGCAAGGCTTCTGCATAATCTCCGCTCTGGTGTACCCAATCATCCGTGAGAACCCGTCATTGCAGTAGACTATGGGATAGTCCACGATCTGCGCATTCGAAAGTATAAAACTACAGTCTGAAAAGGGCTCAATAACAATTTCAAGGGTGTCAGCAGAGGTTTAAATTTGATGCAATGCAACGATTACCTGTATTATTGCATCGTCGTATCACATTTTCCAGAAACGTGTTCTGCGGCGCGACCAGGCCACGTTTCGCCACTGAAAATTAATTTATAGTCAGTCAGATCATCGAATTTTACTCTGCCTTAGGCATTAATGACTTTTTCCAAACCTAAAGTCTATTGTGTTGTCAAAAATTGGATTTTTTGGCATTTTGATTTTTTCTGATATTTTGGTCAATTTCTCTGCGATACATTAAAATAATGCCCTCCGGCTTTTGGAATTTCATCTGCAGTCTTCATGAGCACTGCTAGAAAAATTCAGCGTCAAAGTGATTACAAATAGTCAAGTAAAAAATCTTTTTTCTTTTTTGTCAACACCATGTAGCCTTTTCGTCTCACCGCAAAAACAGTCAAAGATTAAGGCACTTTTTAAGAATCTTTCAGTCCTTTGAGGTCTTGACTTGACAACCAACAACTTTAGCGACCGCAATTTTCAACTCACTTTATGCGTTTTACGGCGGTTCCCTGAGAATGGGGGCGTGGAAGAGGCGGAGTGCGACTGTTCGTGCTATTATTGTAAATCGGGGTTACCGACCGGCCGCTGGCTGATACGTGTTCATGTGAGTGCGACGCGCGGAGCAGCCAATAAATAAATTAATGCTTAGCCAGCTTAACAACAATGAACGCTACTTGGCTCGGCTCTTAACACCCGCGCATTCTCAGGCAGAGATGCGGCCGCGGTTCGAGTTCTGAATGGAGCGGGGTGCAAGGGCCTGAAAAGGAGGGAGAATATAGTTTACAAGGTAATTTAGAAGATTTGTCGTAATATTACGCGATTTTTTGAAAGGCGACACTTTATACGAAAAAATTAAAGTCAAGATTTTTAAGTGTATGATAACAAACCAGCTTAAAATAAACTAATGGAAGTACATCCGGAGAGAAGAGTAGGTTTTCCCGATTGTTTCAACAAAAAGGTGGCATTTTATACGAAAAACAAAAAATTTTCATTTTTTCAAATTTCTGCAAAATTAAAAATTTTTATTAAAAGAATAAAAATCGAGACTTGTTAAACCAATTCCATCCATTTTCTTTCATTTCCAAAGGCCAAGACTAACCCTCCCTTCAAATTTCTTCGAATTCACAAACCAAAATGATTAAAAGTCCCACTTTCCGAACAAGATTGGTCCCTGTTTAATCCAGAAAAAACTCGACAAAACCGGGCAAATTCAACGGCCGTAATCCGTAGCGGAAATCGGATCGTAACGGCGCTGTTGTTTATGGCCTTCAAAGTTCGTCATAATGGTATGCTTCGGTTTTATGGCGCTCTCAGCACGTCCAGCTATGTCTCGCGTCATGATTGCAGGTCTCAAAACGTTCTTTTCGGCGGAGCGAATGGGTTTCGGGTTATAGCCGAATTGGCATGGGAATGTCATCGATAAACACTAGGACACAAAGATGTTCCAAAAATGGCAATAGGAATAGTGAATATCGTAATGGATCGGTTTCGATACGCCAATTCAATCCCAACTTTTGTGTCATAAAGTTACCATCAAAAATGAAATATTTACATATGTGATTTGAAAGCAACCATTTTCAACACCTAATATACCATACTCCAAGGACCTGCTAAGATTTTGAGCAAGCTTTTCAACAGATTTTGCTGAAATTTTTTTAAGAGATGTACGAATTTCCTAGACCGCACTTTTACAACCGAGATTTTTAAGTCAAAAGTTGGCAAAAATGGTCCACTTTCTTGCCAATTTTTTCATGTAATTTTTCAAATCTTTCCCTAACGTACAAGGTAATGTTTTCACCAAAAAAAAAGATATGGCCAAAGAAAAGTCAAAGAAAACTCTATACGCCATATTTGGGAAATTTAAAGCGCTGTAGGTAGTATAATACACATACATAATACGTATATATAGCATAGTGGTGTTCCCCGCTTCTCATACACCATTGTCCGCTCCCTCTCCGAGAAAAATGCCGGTAAACGGCTTTGAAACCGCAAGGTTTGTTCTCAACATTCCCGAGACGGCTCCAATTAAAAATTAACGCTTTCCCTCAAAACGCACTATGAAAGGCCCAGCTTTCGAACAGGATACAACCAAAACTTGTTTTTGTAAAATTTGGGCCTGAAAAAACAATGGAAACCCATGTTTTATTCAGTGCAGGAACCTGTTGTTATTGTGCAGGTTGGAAACACTGTTTGAGGGTTGCAAAAAAAGTTATGAGAGAAGGGACGAAAGAATATGAAATTTTGCAAACTTTAAAAACGTAAATTTTGATTGATGCACCCTTTCAAAGGGGATTTTTAGAGCGAAAATGGAAAAAGATTAAACATCGGATTAAGAATGGCCAAGAAAATCAAAAAATCTCGTTTTATAAAAAAGTTTTAAAAAGCTTAGAAAGCGTTCATGATACACATTATCATCAGCAAAGTCGATGAGGCGTTTTTCCTACTTTTTCCGCCTTATTAAGCTTCAAAGTTCCACGAATCTGCTTAATTTCCCCCAAATTTGCATAACTTAATGTCCCCAAGACCTCGTTCGCCGTTCTCCCAACGTGCTCGGAGCACGATACACACGCGAAATGGAAATTAAGTCTCGGAAACAAAAGTGAATTGTGGTGGTTTTGGCGGAGGCAATAAGAGAGTCAAGGTTCATTATACTTGCCGCACCCTGGGGGATTTGTCTCGTCGCCGAAAAGATTATGTTCTTTTGCAAAGGTTGAGGAGGGCACGTCATTTCCGCGATATCACAGGGCGAGATTTGACAGCTAATTGTGGCCAAAATATACGGTTTTTACGAAAATGTGGATTGAATGGAATGCTACTTTTTTCAAAAAAAAAACTGGACATCTTTTTACATTTTTCGCAGCTTCTTGCCTGTGAAGATCGTTCAATATGTCGGCTACAAGTGGAAAACTTGAACCAAAATTTCCTGGAATTTTCATAAGACCTACAAAGATCACGCTGCCTAAAAATAAAAAAAAGTCTTACAGCCGATGGCTGAAAGACTGACTAAAACATTTTTAAGACGCTAAATTTTGTATTGTGAAACAACATTTTGCATCACTGAGCTTCCGGACGGCTTCAAAAACCCTCCTCAAATATCCCAAACTCACTCGCCACTCCGCTAAAATCTCTGGCTATTCGCCTTAAGCAAAAGGTGGAAACTAGCCCCCATCTTATCCCCTACCTTTTATAATACCCCGTTTTCTCACACCACGTCAAACCGGACCTGACAAGGTTATAACAACCAGACCCCTGGATGTAATAACGTGCGAACATTACTCTTTACACTTACATCACCGGTGTAAAATTGGAAAGTGTAGGAGTTGGAAGGACCGAGTGTAAAAAGGCCACTAATTATAGGGTGTGATCGGGTGAATAAAACATGAGGCGAGTAAATGTAAAGGGTTGGGTAATGAGTTGAAAGAAAAAGAATTATGGGATTTGAAGGTGTGAAAGGGGAATAAATAAGGTCACATGAGGAAATTGGCAGCATCTGAAGTCTTGATGACATACTCATTACAATCCACTACTACCATCAAAAATGAGATGGTTTGAAAAAAAAATCAGCTTCAGAAACCCTGCAAATATGGCTTGCTTGTTTTCTGAAGATACAGTGGCGCACCTGCTCTAATGACAAAAAATGTACCATTTTGCATCCGTGAAGTATCAAAAAATGTAGCAAAATACCTCCCTCTCCAAGTGAAAAAAACCCCGATTTTAAAAGCTCCTCTTTTTGTGAAGGAAAGGGCCTTCAAAACGGAGTTTCTTAATTGGAGAGGGAGCCATTTTGCTACATTTTTTGATACTTCACGGATTCAAAATGGTACGTTTTTTGTCACTGGATCAGGTTCGTCACTGCAGGAGTCTCATAACAACAAAGCTTTACCAAAATCACTTCTACTCTTCGTTTGTAAAATCGCAAATTTGTAAAAGGTTTGAAAATATTTTTGCCTTCGTATAGACATAATCAAAGCACATAAAAACATGAATAAACTTGTCGTATTTTAAAAACACAATAAGCCTTTTTATTCCTATACGAAATCTTCCTATACAAAGATTTCATATAGGAATAGAAGCGAAATTTCAAGCAGTAGTAATGGCATTCGCCATAAATCCAAAAAAAACCTTTTAATGTCTCCATGACACTTTTTGATATCAGATTAAGGCTCTTTTCAATTTCTTTTCCGCCCTATTGTCCCCTTACAACAATCGCCCGTTACTTCAACTTTACCCATAAAAGTCTCACCAATATTCCTCGTCTACCTTTTATTTCCCCCATCAAAACTTGTTGCGTAAACCCCCGTCATCGTCGCAATTCTCCCCATGCCATCTGGCGGCCGGCCGGCCCTATAAAACCTCACCCATCATAACTCAAATTCAAGGCAATCACTCGTTTAAACAAGCTCATTAACGGCCCCAAACGTCTGTCGTAATATGGCGTTGCAGCCGGCCCCAAAGACGTTGACGGCGATATTGAATAAAAATAAATATTTATATTCCACATCCATCAAGCTGTAGAGGAGCGAACCCGGGGACGAGTCGAATGGGTTTGCCGCGAAATTGTAGGGAACAGGTAAACGATAAATATAGTATGAAGTGTGGAGAAGAAGACCATGAATCTGAAGGCAGAATGAGGTAGAAAAAAAGGTTGAGCTTCAATTACCACCTTTGATTCGGCATTTGTAATCTTATTCCGAAGAGGTGTGAAAGGAAATCAAATAGAGATAAAACGAAAAAAAGTACGATTTTGCAGAGATTCGGACTTTAGAAAGACATAAAAACGGATTTTTTGATCTCTTAATGCCGCGTTCAAGGCGCGTTCTACGGAAATCATAGAGCAATGAGGTTAATAAAAACCATTTTTGAAGAATTTCTATGAAATTTGGAAAAACCCATCGAGTTAAAGCTTTACACTTGCACCCGAGATATTCAACGGCATTTGCCTATGGCAGACTGTGGAAATAAGGAGAGACAGCCAGAGAAAAAGTTGTTTGGCAATACATCTTTATTTTTTCACGAAAATATTGGATTTTTTAATGGATATGGTGTATCAGTCTGTCTGGAAAATAGTGAGCATGTCGCTGCGACAATCGCATTGCTGAAATGAAAAGCAATTTGATTTTCTCGCGACACTATTCATTTTCTCGGCGACGATGTGATTTCGATGCGACAAAACGATTACTATTTTCCCGACAAATTAATACGCCATTCCCGTTAAAAAAATTTAATTTTTCCGTGCAAAATTCAACCACATATTGCCAACCGAATTTTTCTCTGACTGTCTCCCCTCATTTCCACAGTCTCTCATCGGCAAAACCGTTGAATATTTCAGCTGCAGATACAGAGCATTAACTCAAATTTTTCAAAAATTCAAAAACGGCCCGAACGAACTTTTTAGCCAGACTTTTATAATATTATAGAAGGATATCTATATACCAATGTTTAGGTCCTTTTTTCAACTCAATGACCAGACCGATCACCGTGCAATGACGCATTTCGCGGCACGTAAGCCAGCCGTGTGCCGCGCTCGCAGCCGCATATCCCCGCACAAAGGTGGGGCTGGCAGACGTTTTGCGGCCCTCAAGACCGAGAAAAGGTTTCGAGGAG